CTTTTTGGTTTTAAGGGACCAAAATTTTTTTTTTAAAGTTTGGGCCCCCCTTGTTGGGAGAAAAATAGTGGAGTGAATACGAACGGCACAAATTTGCACTCGGTCCTTTGAAATAGCGAACAATTCATTTTCTTCCATGTTAATCTGTCATTGAACCAAATAAATATGTGTTCGATAAAGTTCTGCATATACGAACAACGTGAATTTTCAACTAAAATAGCGAACCTTCGCTTTTCTTCCATCTAAATCTGTAATTGAAGCAAAGGTATATGCGTTCGATAAAAAACTGCAGAAGTGAAAATTTAAAAACAAACAAAACTTCGACTTTTCGGTAAGATTTTGTTATTTTAAATCTTTTGAGGCGGAGAAACAACGTGTAAGGTTTGTCAGTGGCGCAAGGAATAACCATGAGGCGCATTTCTTTGATTGCAATTGTTTGGAGGTGCAGCGCCTCAGTAAGTTCAATGTAGGGAGAGCACAGCTCTGCATGAGACAGAAAGGGACAAGTTATTTATTAGGCTTAATTGCTCCTTTATAACTTAAATGGAGTACACTAACAACAGCAACAAAGAATCAATGAAAAAATAATACTTTTAATCAAAATTGATTCTGAGTTGAATAAACAGTCACCATTGCCTGTTGTAACAATTGGCACCAATCCTCGGTCTTTTAGGGATGGCACCAAATTGGTTGAAAAGGTATCAACTTAAAATGAAAAATAATTGGATTTGTACACAGATCAGGGGATGGGATCGTTGTTAGATATTCGTCTCATAGATGTTACCAAATGGATCTCTCAGTCAACAGAGTCAAGAGTTCAAAATTCAGCATTATTTACAATATAAATAACCTACCTTTCAACATTTTTACGAGTTGATTTTCAGATTTAGCGCCTTGCAAACTGTATGCATAATTATGTCTACCCTTTCGAAAATTGAATCATTCTGCAGCATAAAACCACGACCGGAAGCTATATTTAGTAGCTAAACTACATGCGTTCGTTGTTTTATTGGAAGGTGTTCACAAATTTATCGTATTCTAGGTGGAATGAAAAATAAAAATAATTTTTGAATATAGAAGACAATTTCCCCTAAAATCTCGATGATTACTTAGGTCTGTTGGTAAGTAATATGTCAGAGGCAAAGAGGGAAGATACGATCATGTCTCTGTAATATCTCTCTCAACAATTTTGACCAGAACGTTTGAAACATCCCCAGCCTCTAGTCGGATTGACTAACAAAAAACCTTTTTTGGGGTTGTCGCGTTGGCTGAGAGGTCTTGAGCGCCAGCACATTCTAGCTAGGTGTAATGGGTGCCTTAAACCACTAGGTTGTGAGTTGAGATGTGTGTGCTCCTCGTGTTAATCCATTCATTAGAAATCACCATACAGCTATGGCGGATCCGGGGGGGGGCCCACTTTTTCGGTTTTAGGGGCCCAAAATTTTTTTCCCCGCAAGCGCGGAGGTTTTTCCTATATTCTCACATTTGGGCCCCCCCCCTTGTTGCTTCCTGGATCCGCCACTGTACAGTGTACTTTTCTTTCTTGGGCAGAAAAAATATTATGAAGAGTTATAATAAGTCACACTTATTGCACAGTACAGTAAAATAGTCACCGAGTACCTATAAGCAAATAGGTACAATTTATCAAAAAACCTTTCAGAACCAGAAACATAAGCATAAACCAACCAACAAACATAAGCAAATCAAAACTGCAGCCAGAACAAAGTACACACCTGTTTCCAGTTCAAAATTCTGGTAAGAAAGGTTGATGTCATTAAACTCTGTAAGATGCTCAAAATATTCTGCAATCAAACTGCCAAATATTCTAACAAAGCAGCATTTAATTGTAAAGTGTATATACATCTATATTTCTACGTTTCTGTCACCATTCCATCTAGCGCAAGATAAGTTCCCATGAACCTCTTGTGAACTAGATCACATTTATATTTATTTATATTTCTACTATTCAACTATTATCTGTTAACCTTTCCATTTTCATCTAGCCAATAACCCTTTCCACAAACATCTTTAAAACAATGAGAAAATGAATCAGAAATACTCTTTGAAATTGTTGGAAATAAATGAGGGGTGATGTGAAGTTAACCAAAGATTCAAAAAAAGTATCCGAGACTGGTGGCCACCCTTAAAAATGCTTGTAAAGTTTAACATAGTGAAAATGATCCTCCTCCTTGGCTAAAGATGAAATTAATGTATTGTACTCTTGAATAAAACTATTTGAAACGGAAAAGTCCTTTGGTCTAGGAATTAAACTTGAAATAATAATATTTTGTCCATTTGGAGCCAGCCAGTGTGAAAGAAAGGTACAAAAGTTCTGCAAAAGAGAAAAAGGGTGAACGGGAGAAGAAAAATTAAGAGAAGATGCATCATTTGTGCCAAGTAATAAAAAACAGCGTCTTTTCCAGAAAAAATACTTTTTGCCACATCAGTTTTAAAAAAAGAATCAGTAAATTTGCCCCCTCTCCTTGAAATAATAGAACAGTTTTTTGATATGGGTTCTTCGGGCATATAAAATAATAGACTGTCCGAAATTATGACATATCGGTCTTCAGGGACACTAAAGTAATAAAAAACAGCGTCTTTTCCAGAAAAAATACTTTTTGCCACATCAGTTTTAAAAAAAGAATCAGTAAATTTGCCTCCTCTCCTTGAAATAATAGAACAGTTTTTGATATGGGTTCTTCGGGCATATAAAATGATAGACTGTCCGAAATTATGACATATCGGTCATCAGGGACACTAAAGTAATAAAAAACAGCGTCTTTTCCAGAAAAAATACTTTTTGCCACATCAGTTTTAAAAAAAGAATCAGTAAATTTGCCCCCTCTCCTTGAAATAATAGAACAGTTTTTTGATATGGGTTCTTCGGGCATATAAAATGATAGACTGTCCGAAATTATGACATATCGGTCTTCAGGGACACTAAAGTAATAAAAAACAGCGTCTTTTCCAGAAAAAATACTTTTTGCCACATCAGTTTTAAAAAAAGAATCAGTAAATTTGCCTCCTCTCCTTGAAATAATAGAACAGTTTTTGATATGGGTTCTTCGGGCATATAAAATGATAGACTGTCCGAAATTATGACATATCGGTCATCAGGGACACTAAAGTAATAAAAAACAGCGTCTTTTCCAGAAAAAATACTTTTTGCCACATCAGTTTTAAAAAAAGAATCAGTAAATTTGCCTCCTCTCCTTGAAATAATAGAACAGTTTTTTGATATGGGTTCTTATGGCACATAAAATAATAGACTGTCTGAAATTATGACATATCGGTCTTCAGGGACACTAAAGTAATAAAAAACAGCATCTTTTCCAGAAAAAATACTTTTTGCCACATCAGTTTTAAAAAAAGAATCAGTAAATTTGCCTCCTCTCCTTGAAATAATAGAACAGCTTTTTGATATGGGTTCTTCGGGCATATAAAATAATAGACTGTCCGAAATTATGACATATCGGTCTTCAGGGACACTAAAGTAATAAAAAACAGCGTCTTTTCCAGAAAAAATTCCTTTTTGCCACATCAGTTTTAAAAAAAGAATCAGTAAATTTGCCTCCTCTCCTTGAAATAATAGAACAGTTTTTTGATATGGGTTCTTCGGGCATATAAAATAATAGACTGTCCGAAATTATGACATATCAGTCTTCAGGGACACTTATCATCTGGAATAAAAACAGGTCACATTTACATATCTAAGCGCTAATGCCAAAGGGAAATGACCAAAAACTGTTGAGAAACCCATCAAGAAAAGCAAATTCTAAGTGTAAACCTGCAATAAGAAAAATAGACCCTATATATCCAAACAACATTTATTTTGTCCATTGATTTGATCATACTTTCCAAAATCAGAAAAGTTCAACAAAAGGTTTGGTGTCAAATAGTAACAGGTTTTAGCATACAAATAGTGACTGCCATTGACAATGAGGGAAATAGTGCAAACTGACATGTTTCCGAGGCTGCAATAAGCTTGTGTAATACATATGGGGTATGAAATAATGATTATTAATAATGTTTTTCCTTCTCTATGTCAGACTTGATATAGTAGGCCATCCTAAAATGTATATGGAAATACGAAGTTTAGGTATACAATCCTCATGGGTCTAACATAATTAATTTCACAAAGTTCACTGGCTTTTGTTGGCTATTTTCTTAATTATTTATTATTGCTCAATATACAAATGAAATAAAATTGATTTAATAATTGAATACATATTTTAATACTCAAAAGAAATATTGTTGAAACTCAGTATCCAGCACAAGATAAGTCTGGCAGTTCCGACCTTTTGTGAACTGGACAAAAAATAAAATAACTTCACTTCAAATGCAACAATTGAAACCAATCTCTCTTAAGAAAATATCATCTCTGTTACTTTCTTGAATGAAATGAACTATACAATGAATTTTAAAACAGTTTGGACAAAATACAAATTCAACACCAGAGATAATATGAAAAAAAGAATGATTGTCCAAAGAAAGTTCCCATAAACATTCAGCGACAGGAAGGGAATTTTGAGCTAAACATATTTGACATGAATGTTTGTAAATAAAATGGTGAATGCTTGTGTTATCATCTGGAGAGCTGGTATCAATCATGTCAAACATGAATAAAATGTAATAAACAAAATGTTGTGTCAGCAATTGATTAACAAGTAATATTCAGCACAAGATAAGTCTTTAAGCCAATTTTAGACCTCTTGTGAACTGAACAAAAAAATTATACTTTATTCATCTTCTCTCCACATAACTAAAACATCTGAAGGATTTTTACAACAATTGAAACCAAATCTAACCAAAAATTGAGGACACAAATCAGACTCTGGAATAAGATGCTGAACACAACTCAAATGGAAAACGGCAAAGCAATTTGGACAAAAAACAAAAGCAATCCCAGAAATAATGTGAAATAAATTGTTAAAAGACCATGCTTCAGAAAGGTCGCCTGCTACTTGGTGATTGTTTTGAAAATTACATTAGGCACATGACTATTGTGTTATAAAGTCAGGTGGCCCCTCACTCTCTGTCTCACTGAAGCTATCACTTGATTCATTATCACTCATTCTAAATAAAATATAAAAAAAAGAATTACAAAATAATAATTTAATGGTTTCTTTTTGATCATAATATAAATTACCGTAATCTGATATTTCAATTAAAAAGCACATATTTACCTCGCAGCAGTTTGTAACCTTGTAGAAACCTAAAGATCAAAGTAAAGTTTTGTAAATAACAGTTAACATCAGTATTTTTTGATAATTCATATTTTTTATTATTAATTGAAAACAATGTATAACACACAACATGAATTTTAAAGTGGATTGTTCATTTAAATTATCTAATTAAGAAAATATTTCATCTCATCCTTTGAATTTATTTTTCTGAACAATTTTGCAAATAAGTTGGAATGATGATATGTTACATTACAAAATTGTTGAAATATGTATATTATTCTTAATAGATGTGAAACATGTATTAAACATGTGTTTGATAATTTTTGTTTGCCTTTGTTTGCATAGTTGTTTATTCATCAATTATTTATTTTTTATTTATTTATTTATTCAATTGAATCTGCACATTTCATACTTCTTGTACCTTTAACTGTTTAAGTACCACCACAGAATAAGACACATTATATGACCTTCTGTGAAATGATGAGAAAAGATCAAATTTGCAACATTATTCCACTTCTTAAGCTTATTGTACTTATTCGTGTACCTTTAAATACCACCACAGAATAAGACATTTTATGGGACCTTCTGTGAAATGGTGAGAAAAGATCTAATTTGCACTAAAAGTTAATATTGAAGCTATATTATACAATTTTAGAGCATGTAAGGGAAGCTATGATAAATTAAATCAGTATAATCACATTATCAATGAGAAATGTCATGAAGTTAGAATGAATCAACATGGACTTTATTGCACTATTGTCTATCAGTCTGTTGTATTGTATATTGCACTTGCTAATGTTCTTCAGTACCATCACAGAATATGACACAATATGTGACCTTCTATGAAATGGTGAGAAATTATCATAACTGCACTCTTCAAAGTTTACTGCACAAGTATTTGACAAAGAGAGACTACCCAAGGGAAGCTATCCATATTGCACATGTATATTGTATTGTATATTGAACCGAAGTTCAATACTGGGGCATACTTTGTAACGTAACGAGTGATGAACAATTGCGCTTTTCTGTAAAATTCTCATTTGTTGACGTGACATAAATTAAAGTACTCTACCGTGATATGTACAACCGAGTATTGAAATAAATGCATTAGAACAATATAGCGATACGTGAATATAGTACAAAGTTGTTGATTTTCTTTCTCAGAGATATTTATTTTTATTTTTGACGTTTCGTAGGATGTCCATCCTACTTCTTCAGAAGTGAATATAGTAGTTTTATTATTAACACCATACTTATCATTATCCTAGACTTTACTTGGGTTTGAAGGAAATGTAATCAAAAGCACAGAAAAGCGGTAAAACCATCAATTCTAAAATTCCCGAAAATCGTAACAATAAATTTTTATCATATCCAAAGAACACGAGTAATGTTATATAAAATTTATTACATATAAAAATCTAACATAAATCTGTACACTAGTTTGCCATGTGGAAACACGTATATAACGCGCATCATTTAATTATCTCCCGGTGTTTTACTTATTTATCCATTTATAATTCAACCTAGAGGAAAACCGCAAATTTGAATACAAATAGACATTTTTTTCCAATAGACTGGGTGCTATAAAACAGTTCAGTTCAATGTCCAACCTACACAAGGGACATATCATCAATTATTCCAATAATGTCATCATGAGAAAATTTTGATTCGGTTACTTTAGTTTGATCACATATTGGCAGAATGTAAACAACGCTACCATACGGTAGCGTTGCGCGTCTCTCCTTAATTACAGTGTATGTATATGGGTCCTGTTGGTCTAGTTTATAGTAGAGTGCTTGTACAACAAGTGCACCCCTTGGGACCGTCTGTTCCCAATCATCAGTACCATCATCTGGTTTCTCAAAGACACTTCCAACGGCCATAGCCAGATAAAAGCAATATTCCTCAGCACTATCGTCCGTGTATACTCCAATAATGCTTCCATTGGTAATACAATCCTTTAATTGACATTGTGTTTCTTCATTCTGCGCTCCATGATCTGACTGAATGGAGGTTTCCCATGCGCTTTCGTCAATCCCAGTTACATCTAATTTTTATTTTGGCATTTTCCAGCTTTTTGACTTTGTTTTGTATTTTCTGGCGCTGTTTTCTCTTTCTTGTTGCATCTTTTGAAATTGATAAGACCCGTTGCTCTGTTATTTTCCTATATGCCATTTTCCTTTTTCATTATTTCTTTTCTGTTTGGCTTTCTTACTTTCTTTCCACGCGGAGTCCATCATTAACACCTGAAAACGAAAGCCACATTTTATTGCACTTTTTGTCGACTGAGATGGCGTCATAAATTACCAACTCAATGAAAAGACGTCAAAAAGCTACATGGGACATTTTTGTACCTTTTTCTTTCGCATCGTTTGACAAGTTATCATGTTTGAAAATGTTTGAAATTTTCCACGATCAAAATATATTAAAAACCTATTTCTAAAATGTTTTTATTTTGATATATTTCTTAATTTTAATGCGTGCACGTGATGGCTGGATTTCAAGTTTATGCATTTTTAAGCTAAAAATACTAAATGGGACATTTTTCGTACCCTACATATCATTTGATATTTAAGAAATTTGAAGGAAATTTAATATTTTTTCTTCAGATTTATTAATTTTAGCCAAAACCTTGTTTCTAATTTTAATTTCAGCCTTTAAAAGTAATTAATTCTAAAATAAATGGCATTTTGCTTACCTAGGGGTCGTCAAAATACCCAGCGTGACAGCCTTTGGATTTTGTTTGAAGTTGAAAAATCAGCGTCACATTCCATTGTTAACTTAAAACTGATGACGTCATAATAAAGATCATTGTCTCAGGAAGTGATTCATACCTTCTTCTAATGCTTCTTTTAATTTTGAGACTAAATCTTTCTTGGCAGTTTTGACTTTAGATGTAATTGTGGTAAGATTTTGACTTGTTAATCATGTAGGTTGACTACTCAGAGATATTTTGTTTGAATCAAGTATTTCTCTCAAGTTTGACTCTAAAGTTTTGAGATCATATATTTCCCACCTTTGCTTTTTTGAAATAAAATGTTTTCACCCTTGGACTGAAGAACTACCTTGTGATATTTTAATTGTGTATTCAAAGCAAATATTTTTTCTTCAGAATTCAATAAGGCAAGTTTTTCAGAAATAATATCCTCTGACCATAGGCCACCAAAATGAGTTACGTCATTAGTTAATTTTGTCAGTGTAAGTTGTTATCTTTTTTTGCTTTTTTCTCCTGGAGTTTTGAACGATTCTCTCTTTTTTGTTCCTGGATTTTTTGTTTTCTCTCTCGAAATCTTCTTTTTAAATCAGGGACATTTTGTCTCGCTATATTTAAAATTTTGTCACGTTCTTCATTTGATTTAGTTGAAAGCCATTCACTTGGTTTATTCTGAATCCACATTACCATGACTTCCATTCCACTCTCCAACACAATAGGCTTAGTCCTCAATAAATAGTCCAAAGTCCCTTTCAGAAATAACATTAGTTGGTGGGGTGTTATTAAACCAGGGATGTCATTGGAATTCCTTAATGGAGGATCAGTGGCATATAAAGGTTGAGCAATAATGGAATGATGGCTGTGCGAAACTAGGGGGGTCTGAAAATTTAGACCCTCTGGTGCACTCTGAGCATATCTCAGCACAAAATTTCCAATAAAAATATTTATATAAACAATGATAAAACAAGAAAAATTGTGTTTTTAGAAAACTTTTTTTTATTGTTTCAGATAAATTTGGCAGATTTTTGAACTTATTTTCTGAAACGAACATTTAACCATTTTTTGCTGTTAAATTCTTTTTCCTTAAAACATTCCATGGCACCACATTAAATTCTTTTATTTATTCTAGATAAAATCAACTGTTCCCACTGAAATATGTTTCCTATTTCATTTTGCAATCTTGGTGATATCGAGTTACAGTGGTGACGTAAAATAATTGATATAGCGGTGACAAAAAATAATTGATAAGTCATATATTTGGAATATTTTCTTGAATTTTAAAATTTAAAGTCTCAAACTCCCCCAAACTGCAGAATAGTATAAACCATACATTAATTTACCAAAATGTGTCACCAAGGCTTTGTACTATCGAATGCTTGATGCATTTGTCATGAGTTTGAGCTAAAATTTGGGTAGGAGCACACTCTGTTTAGTTTGAAAACCCACCATTTATTATTTACTGTTCACACTACATATTTAACAGTCTTAAAAATCATTTGTTCACACTATTTTCTTTGTGGTCTAATTAATGATTTAAAATCTGTCATTGTTTTCTGGTATATAGTTTAACCGATGTGAAAAGTGGTTCTCTGTAGAAATAGTGTTCATTCATTATAAAAGTGAGAATGTCACGATTTCAAAGATCAGCTTGCACTATTAAAATGAAACACAACATTAAAATGACGTTTTACAAGCACAAAATATGTGTTTTGATGAAGAAGATTTGACCCAATATTGTTTATGTTTCATGTTTAATTTGAACATGAATTTTGCAAAATAGGTACTTCATTTCCTTCTTCAAGTAAAAATATAGCACTGTGAAAGAGAACTGAACAAAATAAAAACTGGGTGAAATATTGACTTTGTTCACAGTTTATAGAAGGCATGAGTAAAACAATATTGAAATCTTTTCTGTTTAAATTCATCACTCCGGTAATATATTAATATTAACTTAAAGTTCATTTACTTCAGAGTAAAATGTTTTATTTTCGACGTTTCGCTAATCATCCAACTAGCTTTATCAAGATTCAAAATGGAAGTACCCAGTTATATTATTTATGACGTAATAATTGAACAATACAATACCCAGTTAACAATAAACAATACAATAATAAACAATGACAATAAACTATGACAACAAACTATGACAATAAACTACACATAGAGACACCAATGTTTTATATATAAAACTATGGTTAGGAAACAATTGAAATTGCAGGATATCTTATAAGCCCTGTATTTTTTTATAAGCTTCTATGAATTTATATTGATATTTAATATTTAAAATTGTCTTCTTGTTGTGAAATAACAAGGTATGATATTGGTTAACTTGCAAGAAATTAACAGAATATTATTTGAAGCGTTTTTAGAAAATTTTAAAACTGCCATCTTTAAACAATTTTTATTGGTTGCTTTTGGCCTTTAAATCATGTGTTTGTTACAGTGAATTTGATGTTTCCATCGATTCCACCAATTCTAAATCAAAAGTGCCCTATACCATATTCCATGGCTATCTATAATGCAAGTGAGGGCCATGGTATTCCATGATATTCTTTATCCATCTTTATATAAAACATGTGTAAGTATAACAGTACACCCTTTTCTCCATTCTGCTTAATTTCCTACTAATCCCTGGATCTTTAAATACAATGGCAAATATAAAGAACAATAAAACATGTGTAAGTATAACAGTATAAGTAAACCCTTCTCTCCATTTGTTTTTTCTTGTCCCATCTCTTTAATACAATGATTCTTCCCATGGAGAAATGTCTTTATTACCTCAAATTACTGGGGGGTAATGGAACTTGCCTCAAGTATAGGTTTCTGTCACTTTTTGCTGCTTCTCTTTTCCTTCATCCTGCTGGATTTGGAATTATACTCAGCCGATGGTAATAAAACCTCAGCCTATTGCACAGAAGTGTTTGAAGCAGCTGTAGTACAGAAGTAGTTGTTAGCTGATTGAAATCCAGGCTGTTACATAGCTTTAGATGTGGCTAATGAAACGTCAGGCTGTTACACAGAAGTGATTGTGGCTTCTGGAACTCGGGCTTTTGCACAAAAGTATTTATGCCTCATTGAATTTAATTTGCTGCAAAGTAGTTTGTGTAATAATAACAATTTTTATATCAAATTGTATTGCTTAATGTAACAGAAAATTATTGCCATTGATTTAACTTTTTTACGAAGAAAGAATGCAAACACATTATATAAATCAACTGTATATATTAGTTATAAATAATTCTTGATGTTTAATATGTCTATAATTTAGTATAAACTTATTTTTTCATGATTCCAATATACAGCCATCTTTAGTCTATGCAAGATATTGCCATCTTTCATCCTGAAAGGTCAAACATTCAAGATCAAGATAATATTATGTTTGTTTATTCACTTGAGATAAGGAAAATTTTTCAATCAAAGACTTTCCTGAAATATTCTTTTAATACCTGATCAGATGTTTTCTTTCCTGTCCCAAAGACATGGCAAATCTCCATTTGACAATAAACATGTCTAAGAATAGGGGTTTTGAATCGTTAAAGATTTCTGACAGAAAAAGATTAATTTTGTGATAATTCTAAATATTGAATATTTCCTTTCTCCTAAATCTGTCTTTCTATCCCATAATAAGGCACTATCATTTTCAAAATTAAGAGTTTTCTTATTTGACAAAGTGGCACATATTTCTTAGTACTGGGAAAAAGAAGCTTGAATGTATTGCTTTAATACACTATTTTTTGTAAAGATAATTGACATGCTTTAAAAGTAAAAATGCTGTGATATTCAGGATCTGATGTCATATAGTTGTTTATTACCCAATAATGCAGGCTCACGTCTGAGCTTTATGATGGATTTCACTGCCATGAATTAATTGGCTATAGGCCTAATAAAGACATTCATTTCTTTCTCCTTAAGTTAAGTGTGGTATTAAGTTAGGCCTAGTTGTATCTGTGTCTTTTCCGAGGATTGTTATCAATTGGTTGAATGGAGCGTTTCTCTCTCAGGCAGGTGCTCTCAGGATGAATGAATGCTCTGTTTTTAGTTTGATCAATGCGTTTATGTGATGATCATCTGTCGCTGCGGACTGGAGATTGCGTCCACAATGGTCCAGAATCATCTCCCATGTTGTACCATTGCTGGTGGTGTCAGGATTGCAGAAAAGGTTTGTGATTTGTGGGCGGAAGCCTTTCAGGACCACTTTGGACTTGTTGGACTCACTGTTGGTTTGATTCAA